GGGCTCGGCTTTGGGGTTGCGAATGCGGAGGATGGGACGGACCTTCCAGCCGGCGGACTCCAGGCCGGCACGGTGATGAGGGGTGATGGCATCATCGACGAGGACGATGAGATCGCGCGACGACCCAGACATGCGGATGCTCTGTGCCGCTGTGATGGCCCCACACACATACGCGTGGGCCGAGTGGAGGATTGTCGCGTAGGCTTCGCGCTTCAAGTTGCCGCCCGAGTAAGATTTTTCTGCAAGGAGAGATGCCACAATTTTGAGAGTGTTAACTAACAAGGGAAAAACTTCACACCAGCTAAAAGGAAAGTGTTCTGTCAAACAGAGCCATTAAATTCAAGTTTTATTCCATCTTGTCAATTTTCAGAGGGTTATAATTTCATATTAAGTATTAACTAACAACGAATGAAGTATTTTACAACCAACGACACATTCCATGGGGAACCTTTTTAAGTGGAAAAACAATGAAAAAGTATTATTTATGCATTCAATCACACCCTTAGCTTGCCTTTAAAATGCTCTTGTACTTCCGATTATAAAAATGGAATTATATGAAGTGGTGTGTGTAGTAGAACTTGTAATTGATCTAACCTTCAGTATTTAGAGGAAGTGAGAGTTCACACGACCCGACCGGTAGGCGGACCTTCTCTCTCAATTTACTCAGACTCAGTTTATAGAGCCACACGTTACCTTCCCTCACAACCAGCTCTCTGCAAGTGAAGAGATTTGGGATAGGGAAACATTCGGTTAAGAGAAGAACATGCACGGAGTGGTTCCCCTTGGCGGTTGCTGCCAGCCTAGCAGCTTCCAGCTGCAGATGCAGACGAGCCACATCCCTCGACCACTTGCCCGATTTATTGCATGGAAGCTTCACCACTATAAGGTCCAATCGCGGTTTGCCTGAAAAGCTGATTCTGGGCAGATCAGGACAGGTTGGCACTTCAAATTCCTCTTCCTCGTCCAGCCATTCGGGGTACAGTGTTTCCCAAGTGATATTAGGCGAGACGTAATCCATGGCAAGTACGACGTGCTCGGTATCGGGCAATAACTGCTTCCACTCGTCGATTTCATGTTCGTTGAAATTTATCAGCCCTATTCCTTTGTAACTGCCCCTGTCAGTTAATTTACCGATCGCAACAGAAACATCGCCCCAGTTTATGTCTAAATGAGACGAATAGCTTTGGTCTATCCCAAATTTGTCCATTATCCATCTATCTACCAAGTTCGACCTGCCACCAGGATAGTGAAAGAAGATTAAATGACACATTTAAGTATTATCTGGTCACTCAGCCTTATAGTTAATAACTAATGCAGGCAACTTGAACGGAAAATAAAAGCTATTTGCATTAAATATTTATTTATTTATTATTATTTTTATTTTTTTTGAGAAGTGAACAATTCATAATTGTGGGCCAGAGGGAGTATGATCACAAGCGATCAAACTGGAACACTGTTGGCAAACATGCACTTGGTTCTTGCAATTCTCTCAATGAGATGAGATAAATAACACCATATGATAAGCAATATTAACAACACGGTCTATAGATATGTGTGCATAAAGTACCTAGAATGAGAGCTGGACATATGATCTGTTTCATGAATTGATGGAGAACGTAGGAGAGTAAAAAATGCACCGATAGCGATAATGGCCATCACAAGCTTCAGAGTAGGGAACTTGCAGCTTAATATCCGATCGAGGCCGTAACCGTAAAGAGACCTATCCCCATCTTTCGGCACTCTACTTCTAAGAGACCTCCTTCTGCTTGTATCCTCGCTGAAGAATCGAAAGCCAAAGAAATTGGGTTAGAACAGTTCTATCTAGAGGCAAATCTGATTTGCCTTTTTTAGAATGTCACTAAAGCACCAGGGATTTGCTAAAAGCATGAGAACATTCATCTCCAGCAGAAAACAAAAACTAATATATATAGTCTCCGAACTAAAACATCACTATCTCTTCTCCTATCGGAACCACAAGTAAGACCTCTTCCAGTTGCATAAATGTTTCAACCAATTTGTGAATATTATTTACCATCAACGAATGAGATCAACGAGCATGACCAAATCACAGATCCAGAATTTCTTGTGAAAAAGTCATCCCAATTCAAATGTATTATCATTCTTATCCAAGTCCAACAATGCAAGAAAAATCTGCAGAATATAACTTAGCTCTTCAAACCTAAGCAACACATCATTCCATAGAAACAATTAAAAATCTTAATCTCCTAAAATCAGCACCTAACACGGGTATTGCATTTCATTGTGTCAAACTATAAGACTTGAGAACTCAAGAAGACAGTATTATTTGAAGGGCTTCTATCCCTCAACTACACCATCACCGAATTACTACAGAGCCCATATTTTTTCGAAGACCCAATACCATTGATATTCAGACAAATAGTTGTCCATGCTGCCCAGGACAGCAGAATACCTGTTCCAACTCATTTTCATCTCATACTCAACTCACATTGCAACAGTTACAATGCAAAAAAAGGATCAATTTGTATCATTGTTGCTTGAACTCATGACAATCACCAAGCACCAATTCAAACACCCCCCCGGCTCTCGTCATCTCTCGGATTGCTAATTAAATTGCCCATCTCAAAAATCGATATATAAACCCTAAATTTGAAAAAAAAAAAAACAAAAATGTTCAGAATAAAAAAAATGCTAGAATCAAAAGCTTCTTTAAGACTCGGATCATCCAAGAATAAGCTCCAAAACCAAAACCCAAAAAATCTTACATGGATGAAGCAGAACTTTAGTTAAGAGCTTACCGAATAAAAACAAACTTTCAACTGATAACAGCTTACTTGTTGAAGGGAAGTCGATATCTGGGCTCCATTGAAGTAGGCGATGAGACCCTCATGTCGTCCTTGCAAAGGCAACACGATACCCAGGTTTTCTCCTTCTACAAGTTAATCCGTCAGCAAACTTCTTTTTTCGACTGATTTTCACGAATCTGGTTTGAGAAAAACTCTTCAGTGACACTGAGTAGTTTGCTGCTGAAGAAGAGGAGAAAATGCCAAAACCGATGCTAAAAGAGAGAGCAAGTATATAATAAAAATTTGGAAAATATTACGAGGCCTGTCACGGAATCATCTTGTCGAGAGTTATAATATGTAGTTAGTATAAAATAGATGATTTAATAGTTAAAATATTCAAACGAGATGATTGCATAACGAGTTATAATATGTAGTTAGTATAAAATAGATGATTTAATAGTTAAAATATTCAAACGAGATGATTGCATAACGAGACCATGACATTTCTCAAAAAATTTATGTGGTGCTTTTGACTTTTTTAGTATATTTAATTATTAATGGCACGATAAGTGGAAAATTAGAAACAACAAATAATCAAACAGAGGCAACTGAAGCTTTTTGGTGTTTTTTTCTTTGTATATTATCTGTGTTGCTTTTGTTTTGTGTTTTTCTGTTTTTCTTTTTTTTGTTTTTTTTTTTTTTTTTTTTTTTTTTTTNNNTTTTTCAGACCTAAGCTGTACATCAAGAACTAATCACGAATGTCGGTTGGTGATTACATGTGGGCCCTTAACTAACTAATTACTTTATATTTTATAATGTTGACTAATTGAGTTGCACTTTTTTTCAAAAATTTTTAATTTCAAATTTAACTCAATATAATCTAATTCAATTCTCTTCATATTATTATTAACATAATTTATTATAATTAATTGATCAACCATAAAAATATAATCCAGTTCGCCATCTTCTTCCTGTCTTTCAACGGATTGGGATTGGTGCGAGCGTGTTTATTGGCTTCCTTCACCGAACTAAACCCACAAGTCCGGAACAACGGGTAATAAACCACAAGAAAGAAAAGATAGCACGCGAGGATAGCAAGTCTAACGTAGGATTTGAAGCAATGGGATGAGTCGAGCTATACCTAGAACAAAATACTGATTGCTGAGCTCGGAACAAAAGCCAGCAAGTTCCCCTCTTCAACGAGGTCCTTGTAATACCGCTTCTTCGGGAAGAGCTTTTAACAAGATCTAAACCTTCTCGGCAAGCTCGTCACTTATATCCAAGTGCGGATTGTCGACTACAAACAGAAACACCGACCTGTTAGCACAGGAAAAATGTGTAATTAGAGAAGGAATAAAAAAATAGAAGACTCACATTCCTTCACGTCGTCGCTCGTGGGGTTCGACCAACCCTGCCTTCGAAATATTACGATAGACTCATAAGCCTAGTAAAAACTGTAGGCACGAAGTGGCTGATGCCGATGTCGGGTTCGTTGAGTATGGCATTCAATGCACCGGGCAGCAGGAATCGAAGGCCTAGACGAATGCTAGGGCGGTAAACCCCTATGCAGCCCGTATGAGGACAATGAATACGCTCCCCGGCGTAAGGAGCAAATATCCACACTGTAAGTGTTATATACTGAAAGCTTGACTTTAGATGATATTACACTTTTACCCTTTATGAATGAAAATCATGTTAGATTAAACAAGTTCTACGTTCTGTTGTGTTGCAATTAGATAGTGTGGGTAGTCATCGGGCGAACCGAAGATCATTCTATCAGTTACTTGCGAAACAAGAATTATGGTTCACAACCTAGATGGACATGAATACCACATCCGAATGGTTGTAGTGTCAACGACAGTTTGTCTTGACTGATTAGCTGCACTAGTACATTTATGTATTAAACAGGATCCCAGAGAGGAGCAGTTCGTTTTATACTGATCGTCGTAAACAAACTAGGCCTCGGTTAATTACTCTCTTAACCCGTAAGATATTAAATAGACATATATATGTAGTATATATTATTTTGACTCACAAGGGTGAGGTTTAGTGAACTGGATCAATAGTCCTACTGTCTTGGGTAATATTGTTGCATGTATGATTTGCTATTAGGATATTTAGGGTCACCATGTACATTTAGTTTGATGATGTCCCCGGAGTGAGTTCACGAAGGATTATTATGCTAAACCCTACAGGTGGATTAAATTCTGGCATAGTAATAATGTGATGAACGAGCGTTAGCTTCGGTGAAATAATAGTAAATTAATTAATTCTTGATTATCAGTAATCGAATTAATGAATAGACATTATATCTTAAACGTGTGAGATAATCTGAATAATTATTATTGGAGTCTCAATTGTAATTTTGGCTAAGAAAATGGAGTGCAATAATATTATGTTAGTGGCCAAAAATATTATTTAATTAATAGAATAGTAGGTTTGACCCACAAGTATTTTTTTAAATTAAGAAGTCCTATTCCAAATCTCCTAAGGGTCTTTACTGTAGTTTTATATATACACCATTAAGCTCATGGAAAGAGAATAGTTGAGACATTATTCCACATACACAAAAATCGGTCGCCTCTCTCTCTCTCTCTCTCTCTCAGTTCCCATTCGAGTTTTATCTTCTTCTTGATGCTCAACTGGTACAAGTTGAAGAGAGTGTTTGAGATATAACAGTAGAAGATCCCGTGGTTTATTGAGATACATATATTAATCAACACCGTGATCAACCGGAACAGACGACCACCGACAGCGAGCCACCGACCGACGCCGCGAGCCAGCCGGACAGACGACGCGCCAGCCGTGATCGTGATGCGCCTCCGCTATGCCAAAGCGCCACCCACACGACCCGACGACCTGATCCACGCGCTGCACACCACCCGATCGCGAGCCCGACGTTCCGTTCATGATCTAATCCTGTTCGTGTGCTCATCTCGGTCAATCCAATTGAAGATCAGCCAGATCGCCATAAATTTTAAGCCGTAAGTTTTATACGTCAAACCTTTAGATCCGTTGCGTATGGGTTTACGTTTGCTATTGAGTTCGTGATTTGTACATAATGATATCCTCACAGAACCCAACACACACCCCAGGTCCGAAGATGACCTTGCCCCTCAACTGGACGAGATCAACATCTCCAAGAACCGGCGGAGTAATCCAAACCTTCATCTCGCATTGGGTCGGCCACACTCGGAGGGATCAACGCCAACACCTGGGAGGCGCCGTAGTCGTTGCCTCGATCTCGGCATCAATTTTCTTGTCCTACTGGCCCATAGAAACGCGCTCCCGACCGCAAGTGCCGCCCTGGAGGGTCTCATCAACAAGATTAATGTCTACATCAGAATCGCCATGAAGAAAGTCGATGTTAGCGCCTTTTTCTTCAAACTCAGTTATCTGATCCGGGTTGAGGCCGCCAGTTTCACGCAAGGAAGATTTTGGGATTACCTCCCTCTTGTCACGGTTGGAGGTTGTCTCCGTCGTCGACGAACTCATCCTCACCACGGAGATTGGAGTCGCCTATAGCATCGCGGCGGCCGCCGCCGCGGGCAAATAAACCACCAGATTTCCGGCCTCGGCCATCGGGAGAATCGAAACTCTTTTCGGAAAGAAACATGGATCGGTGATTTCGGAGAAAGAGGATCCGATTGGGATTGTTTAAGCAATTCACGCAATCATTCACCGTATGAGGTGAAAATCTCATGTACGGTTCTGTAGAATGGCAGTAAGGGTGACTTATCTGTCAACTTTTCCACTATCTCCCCCAAAAAACCGAACTCTTTGTCGACATAGTTGAAGAAAACGAAACAAGAAAATGAAAGTCGGAAAATGAAATTATTGAGAAGAAGACGCTCTGTAAATCGTCCAAATAGCCCTCGAATTGAAAGACTCAATAGCCCAATATCGCAAAAGGTAGGAAAATATATTATTCCGTTGATTCCACGGGTCGCGACTAGTTAATATATGGCAATATTATTTACCTAAAATAGTATCTAAAAATGAACAAAAAATATTTTGGTTTCCCGCCTAAAATAATTGCTAAATTGAGTAATCTTTTTTTGCCAAAATTTGAAAAATTCCGCCTATGTTATCAACTTTATCTTTTTTCGAAAATTTAAACGTAAATATTTGGGTCAGTATGGAAACAAGGTCGGCCTAATTTTGTGTCCATCAGTTAAATTTATGCTATTTTTTTAAGAACCGAGTGTCTTGCCAATAAAAACATCTGATTTTTTGTTAATTTAAACTATCCGTTTATTTCAAACGGTTTTTTCCCAATAAAAGAATACGAATTTAGTAAATTTTTCAACAAAAGACTACCAATTATAACAAATACGATTTTGTCAATAATAAAATACAATTACACATATGAAAATATTTTTTTTTGTTCGTTTTTGGTTCATAATCACAATAAAAACTAATTTTAAACCTAATTATCATTCAAATCCATAAGGTACCACAATTCAAGTACACTAAAGCTAGGAAAGTAAATTTTATTTGCATAAAATATTAGATTTTGATTTTTTTTAATATAAATGTTAAAATCTGATTCCATAATGTAGCACAACTTAAGTCTTTTTAAAACTCGCTAATTTATAACAATTTAACATTATTAAAATTCTAAAACAGTACCTTATGTGTAGTAAAATTAATTTGCACGATTTTAATACCTAATTAACAATCGGACAATTGAAAAATTTTCATAATCTCACCAACTAAAAATCAGATATGTAATAATCCTAAAATAAGTATAGTTTGAAGATATTGAAAATCATATTGATAGTAACTAGTACGAATCTCGTGCGATGCACGGGTAAGAAATATTATTTAATATTTATATAATTAAAAATTCTTATTAAATAATATTATAATTAAAAAATATAGAATCAATATGTAATACAACGTACCTATATTAATTTATTGAAAATATTATATATAATTTAAATTTTGCAAAATTACATAAAAATGTCATCTATTCAAAATTATTACACAACTCGCGCGTCGCACATAACTGATAATAAATTGCATAATATTCGTTTGAAAATATGTGTCATCCCAATTTTTTATTCAGAAATTCGATTTGACTATAACGTGATTCCATAAA